ATTCATTAAATCATTTTACCCTTTGTTAAATATAAATTACGCATATAATATGTAATATATAATTTATGCATACTGAGACTGAAGTATGAGGTGAAATTATTTTACTGTACATTGCCATTTGTCCCCGATGATATGAATAATCGATAACTGAAATGTATACAGATATAGGCTTAAATTATATTATTATGTAAACTCAAATTTTACACAAAGCTATTTTTTAATTTTTCAATTTTGTATCTATACCCGTCAACCGATAATCATAAAACAAATTCCATTTCATTATCACTCTACTCATTATAATATTGTGAAATATAGTACCTACCTACTAGGTACCTACATAGATTATTGTCTTACTAGCTGATTACTTACTAATAATGTTAATGTGTATTATAAGTATAAAACCGTTTACACACTTCCACACACACACACATTCGCGCGCGGCAGGCACACTCCGGTTTGCCAGTATCATGCGCTGCCGTGCACACACGTGCTCGCCAATCGTCGTTACATAGAATTTCGCGCGAATCCAGCACATCTCGTTTCCAACAGCGAGGAAATCGTGTGAAATCGGTCGGTGGTTGTAAATTATAATTTTATACCATCTCAACACTCGTTGTACTTGACAAAAACCGACGAGGACGGCGAGCCACGCAGTTTTTTCATTTCGCCGAAACTTTGTTATCCGGTTTGCTAAATGCCCAATTTGACTTGGCGTAAACGGATGTACTCGTCCCTCAAATTCGGCTTCTACCACCGTGTTGTAAGTTAAAGCTTCAGTCTCTCATCGCGTAAATTTTGGTTAAAAAATCGAGTTCTATCGACTTATTGTCTAAATAATGGTCTTAAAGTCGAAAAATAAAAATCGACGTGCTTAATGCGTTTCAATATGAAATATATCACAGATGTATCGTTATTCATATACTCTTCATACTGCCGTGCACATTGAACAGTATTCTTAATTTTTTCTTTTAATCAATAATAATATATTTATACAATGAATTTATTACTTAATACATATTAATCGCTTTCGACTGATTTATGTAGAACTTGTACGCAGTGTGGTTTTTGTCATAATATTTAAGTTTATTTACGATTATTTCTGATATAATATATTATTAATATCATAATTTCATAGGTAATGTATGTGTATTTCTGTATTTCGAGTATTTCGATTGTTGCTGTATAATAAATTCTTAATATAAACATTTTTATAAATATAAAAATGAAAACCATTAGTTGCCCATGTTCATTATACACCTTATTAGTTATTAGATTATATAATTATACCTATATATATATATATATATATCCTTCATGAACTTGAATCTTGGTATAAAACCTGAAAAGTTAATATTAACGAAACGGAATCATGGTATATTACCTTTACACTTAAACATGGAATCTGCCCACCGATAACATTAAATAATATTATAATACCAACCTCAGATACAATAAAATATCTTAAAATACATTTCGATAAAATGGGTACGCCATATATACTGTACAAAATTCAAAATAAACATCCGTCTACGCTTAGTACGCTTACTTAGACAAATCCTGCATTCAAAGTCGAAACTTACTCTTCGCACAAAACTTAATCTCTATAAACTCCCCCTTAAACCAATATGGACGTACGGTATCCAGATATGGGGATCCGTAAAAAAATCAAACCTGAATAAAATCTTCCGCCTAATCATTGCTCTATTCTACATAACAAATCAAACATTATACACTCCGACCTAAAAATGCTAACAGCCGCACAAACTGCTTCAAATTACTACAGTCGATACCAATGATACCATAACTCTTTAAAAAATCACCCAAACAACTTTGCAAAAGACTTGACTTTACCATTACCTAAATAAATATTATTATATACTATTATGATTTTAAATAGTAATTTCGGAATGACTCCATTTGCGATTCACACGAACTGTTGGATTATATTTTATTTCACTATTAATAGGCAATACCTATCAATTATTAAACTATTGTCAATTTCTTGAGGATCACAATATTATGTTAGAGAAAAATACTTATACAATTAATTTAATATCAATTAATATGTGTACCTCATAGTCATAATTAAATTTTGCAATATATTTATTATTTTATATTCTATGTAAGATTATTATATTAATTTCTATGCCGAGATAATTAAAAAAAAAAATAATAGATCTAAAAATATTTTATTTTTTGTATAACAACAACATCTTATTTCTTCTTTTACACTTTGTTATTTTCGTCAACAAACGTTATTATAAATATCTCTTTAAAAAAAGATTCGTTGTCCAACATCTTACAAATGGTTTCATGTATTTTCAGCTTAATTTTTTCTTGAAGTTTGAATATTTATTTTACTAATAAATTATTACTTGTTCAAATTTGTAGTGATTTATCAATGAATACTTTTAAGAAACAAGTAAAAACCGACTACCGAGTTTTTTAAATACCAATTAAGAATAAAATAAAAGCAAATAAGACTTGGATGTTTAAAGTTAAAATATAAATGTTAAATAATATTATCAACCTTTTAAGCCTAAATACAAATAAATAAATAATAATAACTTTTTAGTTAAAAATTTGAAGATAAATTATAAAATATTATTATTACAAATTAGTAGTGCATAGTAGATGTAGAGATATGTCACTTCCTGTTTACTTAAGTAAATTATTATAATATAATATTTTTCTAAGTTAAATAACATTGAAAATATATTTTAAAATGTATTAAATGAATCACTTGTTGAATCATATTTGATAGTTTAATTTATGACCTATATTACACAATTGATTATACTTCATGTTCGGTAACAATCGATAATTGTTTACCTTTATTGATAAAACTAATTATTTGATTTGAATAAGCTCAACCAAATCGAAAATCGAAATGGAATATTTTATCATACATAAACTTGTATTCTGTGATTTATAATTTGACCTGATAATTTCTGATTTTTTCATTATATTAAATTAACCTACCCTCCCATCCCCTCCCGACATGTAAAATTTATATCAAGTAAAATTTATTTCGTTCGATCACAGTTTTAAAGAACTASGTAAATAAATAAATAATAATATTTAATAAAGGCTAAAGAGACTGCTTATAAAGTTGATCTTTCACTTAACCCTTGTTATAGAACTACTGTCATTGCCCGGGACGATTGCTCTTACTACGCATTACACTTGTGTTTCGGCATTCCCGTTATATACTTCCATCCTTGTCTGTCGTGTATTCAATAAAGCTTAATCAAATTTAAAAAAAGAATGCAGAAGGTCGTATTATGGACACACAAGCACAATAATTTAATTTATTATACGAAATGAATATATTCTGCACAGAGAATTTTTTTTTTCATTTACCTTAAACTGGCTGTACAGGGGACATATAAATATTTCACCTATAAATAAGAATTACGATGTCTAGAATTCGTACCATCCACACCTCACTTCGCGGACTAATTAATTGGTTCACGATGTTCTACCGCGTGTGTCGTGTGTAGGTAACTCGATATTATAATACTGATATTATATTCCCAGATTTCAGCCTTGAGTATATTAAAGGACATGGCGATCCGCTATCGCAATAGGACGACTGCGGTGTTATAAGATACGCTTAATGCTCATAAAGTCATAACATATATTGTCAACCGTGTGCCAATGCTACGAATATCGTAGCCCGTAGGCGAAATGTAGCTTTTGAGGACACTGAAAATTAATTTAATTTCATTACATTTCAAATCGTAATACCGATTACCATATTGTATTTCGTTGGGATTTAAATTTTAAACCGGCGGCGGTCACGCATGATTTATTAATACGATACATATTATAATTCACATCATTTATATTCACTTTAAAACGGATAATTTGTATTCCGAAATCCACTCGGTCGTAGGTGGGAGTACTCGTCAAGGTTTGTCTTTTCGTTTAGTGTTCAGCTAACGGCGACGACGACGACAACGACGACGATGATCAGTGTTAACATTTTACAATTATTATGATTGTAGTATGTTTACATGCAGGTATACTTGTTAGTTTATTACATACAGATTACTAACATAATCTCGAAATTCGACGTATTCTTTCTCGTTTCCATACCAAACTTCGTTATGATAAGCACCACAAGATGTCGGGGAGAAAAATAAAACTCGTAACATTTTAATATTTATATATGCAACGCGTTTGCAGTGATTTTATATTACACACGTCATTATGTTTTCATAATATTATATATAGTTTAGAGTTCGGTCGATTATTTCGATAACCATATTATTATCCAGTTAAATGACCATTAGGGCGTGTAACATGCGCTTAATGACGCGCATTCTATACCCGACAGCTACTTGTACCTATTATGTGCATATAATAATAATGACTTAAGACTACATAGAGGTGCACACATCGCTACCTCATAATTAATATTTGGACGTTTATGTTTGCAGAACTCTATACGTCACAATCTGTCACTTCACAGCCGGTTCGAAAAGATACAAAACGAGGGCACCGGCAAGTCGTCGTGGTGGCAGATCAACCACAACGCTAGCCGGACGACCGGCAAGTCCAGGCGCCGCGCCACGTCCATGGAGACGCCCAAATTTGAGAAAAAACGTGGGCGCGTCAAGAAGGTCGTCGAGGCCATCCGTAACGGTCTGCAACCCGAGAACACGCCTAGTCCTAGCTCTTCGATTTCTGAAAACTCTGACATGATACCCGTGTCACCCCTCAGGAATTACCAATTCAGGTTGGTAATTTTCTTTAAAACCTTTTCGTTTATGTCCCCGTAAAATACAATATTATTATGAAGGTACTCGAGTAAATTACTCAACTTGTGATTTGTAAAATTCATCATATCGGTCGTCATGTGCACAAATAGTGTTTGAAATTTGGAGGGGGGGGCCGAAGCTCAAGTTTATACATTGGACACTTTATTGACACCTATAATTTGGTGTATGTACCTATGACATTGGTTTTTTGAGAGGGGCTATACAAAGTTTAGGGAGGCTCAGCCTCCCCCCCGCCACCCCTTATTTTCGCCTATGTCAGTCGTGTGCTATATACGTACTGGACCTGTGTAGGAAGTATAATACAAATTACATTAAGTATAATGGTTGTAATGACGGCGCTCGTTCGATTCGTGTGTTTTACACTTTTCTATACGTGGTTCGACGAAAACTATTCAACGAACTATAATCGTGGACTTCTATTAATATTTAATGATTAACCGTCGAAGTGTCGGTTTGTGTAAGTTTCCTTACTATGTTTATTTTATAAGCCTGTTGTTGAACGGGTCATTTGACCGTTATTTTTCGTTAAAAATTTATTGTAATTAGTTGCAGTCGAAAATATTAAACTCCATTGTCATGCATTCGTCATGTATATTCATAGGTAATTGATTTATGGAACGGGAAAAGGGACGATAATTATGGAGAAAAAAAATGTATTTATTGGTAAAGGCAACCATTTTTTATAATGTTGTCTCAGTGGTTATAGTGATGTTGTTAGGTGCTTCGATTTTTTAGGTCGAACCGAACCGATCTTTCACATTTTTTAACTGGGCATGAACCAATCCAAACTATTAAAATCGATTTCAAAATTATTCAAAAAACGATTACTATTGATTAAATATCCAATAAAATAATGAACGATACTAATTTTTTCTTAAACAGAATGTGTTTGAATTTCGTTTTCATTCGTTCAATTTTGGAACGAATTAAACAATTTGGTTTGGTTTAATGACTGAAACTGCTGTTAGACATTATAGTGACTAGCATCATTAATCTTTGGATACTTAAACATTGCAGTCCCGACTTCAGAGCGCGGGCTTCGTCGAACGCTTCGTCCACTGGCCGTCTGTCACCGATATTCAGCGAGCAGCTCACTGCTGACTATGGCCTGGACTCGGTGGCCGAACAGGGCCAGGCCGACCAGCTGGCCGGCACGCTGGCACAGACCGTTCGGCTCTCTCAGCCGCTGCAGACGCTCGAAAGCTACAGAGACGTGTTCTTGGACAACCGTCCACCCCCGCCGCCGTACAGTAGCTTGTCGATCCAGTCGTGTCCTATCCACGGTTACCAAGGGTGTTCGTGTTTCAATCTCAACCAGCTCGAGAACACTTACATAAAACAGGTACGCCCCACGAGAAGCGTCGTTGTTATAGTGGCAATTATTGGCCACTGGTCACTTCACTATTATTGTTTACATTACTATATCCTATTTATGTTATACTTATAATGACCAACTGATGTGGTATATTAGTGTACATAGGTACGATCAGATTTTACCATGATATTGGATGTTTTTGACTTTAAATTTTATAACAAAAAATCCTAATTGTAGCTTTTGAAGTTCAAAATCCATTTTATGATAATATTATAAAATCAGCTTTCAAATACGAGTAGACTGTTGGAACTTAATATTTCTTCTCCTCAGGAGTGTATATCGTTCGACAACATGTTGAACGACCAGCAGGATGACAACATGTCCGCCACCGTGGTCGGACAAATAATGGGATCGTCACATCTGTCATTCGACGAGCTCAACATAAACTTGGACAAATTTCCGCCGGTCGAATGCAACGTGGATGAGGTGATCAGCCACGAAGTCAGTCTGGGCGGCTGCTTGGACTTTAACAACTTCAATCCACCGGTACAACAGCAACCGTCGGTATCCACCACACAGACATTGTCATCCGTCAGTCACGACCAATCGTCGTTCACTTCCGGACAACATTGGGTCCATTGAACAGGTGTGTGTGTGTGTGTGTGTATAGTTTGATATTCTGAAAATTAATGTTCGGTGGTGCGTTGAATGATTTTCGATTTGTCATTAATTGCAGTGTTCTAAAAGTTAACAATATCGAATTCGTCGAAAACTATAAGCTTATAGGTTTAACTTTTTGTATTTTTAAATCCCTCTTCCGTTTAATATCATATATTGTATACACTGAGCGCTTTGGTTGGCTCAACTCTAAAATGAATTCGTAATCTACCTCTATATCGTAATGCTATATAAAATATTAACATAATATAAAGCTGTGCATGTATCAGAACGGATAGAAATCAATGTGTGTGAGGGTGTGTAATATAATGTTCTTCCTACATTTCAATATTTCATGTTAGCGGTCACCGTATTTTGTGATTATTTATTAGAACATAAGCAMACCCATGTGTTTGATGCATACCTTTTTTTTCGCCTCGATTAATATTATCAGTGTATCGAAGCGTTTCGGTGTAGGCGGAGTCACGTCGCCGTTATGTCGTGAAATCATTTCTTTATGTGTATGTTGAGTGGATCTTATGTATATAGCAACACTGATGATGAAATTTGAAAAAAAAATATGACTTTTTTTTGATAAATTACTAAGCGTCTGTCTCGTTATCTCGTGTTTATGCATTATTCTCATTAAAGTTTGGCGTAGTAGCGGTTTCTGGTTATTCAGTTGTAACTGGAGCACTGACATATATCCGTTAATGAATCAATTTCAGTAAAAAAACCCTTGAGAATACCCTAAAAAATAAAAACCAAGAATCGTTCTGTGTATATGTCAATTATTTATAATCCCGCCAGCGCGGCGACGAGCTAATCTACTCGAACTTTCGGTCCCAATTTTATTTGTTTGTTTCATTTTTTTTTTAAAGAACAACTGAGTTTTCTTTCCTTTTTTTTTATATATATAGCTCCGTGACATATTATTTCCGGTACAAATTATGTAAGATTTTTTTTGCTTTTACCGGTCGTGTTCTTTCCTCACGGTCTTTGTTCCTCTCTTATCTTTACGATGGCGCCTTTGAGAAACAAAGCCGTGGACTTCAATTACCACTATCTCTCTCTTCCCCTCTCCCTCTCACTCACACATAGCCCCTTTGCCGTCTCGTTCGTTTCCGAAAGGTCGGTCAGTGCACTTGTGTTATTAAAATACTTCCAATTCGTGTCGGGATTTTTACGACCCGTGGTCGCCTCCACTACTTTGCCGTCTCACCGTCTTGCTGTCAGCGTTCGTTGGTGGTGCTAGCCAAGTCTCAACCGTAACTCAAATCGTATTAACAGCACGCTTACTTTATGATTGGTCCATCATAATTTTAACCCATTTTTTTTCGTTTTAATCAATATGAAAACATAAATAATGTTTTATATTCTATGGAAATAACCACCGCGATTATGGATCATGCAATTAAAATGTGGATATTTTATTGACGTTTTAATTGACGTTAATTTTTAAAGAATTTAGAATTAATCGACAGTTCAAAGGTGGCTGATGTTCCCTTCTATTTTACCGTTAGTATAATGTTGACGTCCGCTGTCTGTGTACGATATATTACATTATATTATTGTAATAACAATAATAATAATAATAATAATAATATTAGGTACGTATATAATTGTAATTAATAATCTTTCTCTACACGAATAGCATATTTAAATATTTGAACAGGTAGGTACTTCATTCACTGTCAACTTGATAAGGAATTCAATTGTTTTTCACAATGTAAATTTGACGTAGGTAATCACTAGTGGACTCTGTCCGTGTCTGTTGTTGGAAATCCAGAAGAATGTCTCATAAAAATTACGTGGTTTAATAATAATATTATTTTATATCTGTTGAACGTCATTAGTGGTTTTCATTGTTTCTGTTTGCGATATACTCTACACATGTTCAGTTTATTATAGGTACACATATATATTCAAATATCAGAAAGATATGATAGATGTACTGTGCTATAATATTCTCATAAATAATCATTTTAGCATCGTTAAAAGTTTTTGTTTTAAATTATTTTGAAGTAACGAGTACCTACCAAAAGTCTCTAAAATTTAGTCATTATTCTAACGTAAGTTATTTTAATTAGAGTGCATAGTAAATATAAGATTCCGAACAACGTTAAGATTTCTTGTTGCAAATTATTTTTATTATTATATTTATTAATGGCCGTCTTGCTAATTTAATATCTATACGCTGTTTCTTCTCGGTAGACAAGACATATTTTCTGAATCTGCATGACGTAAACTGAACATTTACTGTGATTGACAGTGGTGTGGATGGAGGAGTATGACAAAATTTATTCTCCATCACGTTCTTAATATTTACTGTGAGTTGCTTCTTGTGATTGAGGTAATGGGGGGGGGATGGCTAACAGAGCTGCGTTACAATATCGTGTTCGTTTTTACTTGAAACAAATGAATAATAGACTAAGTGATATGTGATGAATAATGCTAACGTCAAATAACCTAATCTATTAGTAAAACTATATAATATTATTGTTATTATTAACCATTATAATTTAAAATAACAAATTTTTTAAATTGCATATTTATTAATTTATTTATATATTTTTTTTTGTTTTAGTTGAAAGAAATATCCGAGTTCTGTGGGAAAAGTTAAAGACAAGTCTATGCAAATGTTTTAATTATGTCGTCCCAGATAATTTATGTTAATTTTCATTGTTATAATCATAATAATTAATAATACATAAAATATTATTATTAAATTATATATACATAAAAGGAAAAGAAAAATGTGTTCGTTTTAAAATAACAACTATTTTATACATTCTACTATACACATATTTTCTATGCTAGGTTAACATTATATTTTATCACATGTAAATGTGGAAATATATTATTTGTATAAACCCATTTATATAATATATTATTTTTTAACATTAGTCTCTAATATTTGTTGTAGTTTTAAAAGTTCATGTAATAGTTATATATTGTTCTTTAGATAACTCAATGTTAAATATTTATTCATTAAAAAATAAGTTAGCTTGTTGTAGCTTGAGCGATTCCAAGTGTTAATCAAAAATCTTAAGTTAACTCTTTAGACTAAGTATTGTAAATAGGTTTGCTCAGCAAAAAATGTTTTAAAAAAATGTTAGTAGCCCACATTCACATTATTATTAATTTATTCGTAGATATACATGTTTGATTAACAAAAATGTCGGCTACACTATGTATGCTTTTCAAGGACAATTTCCGTTTACTTACTCAGAATCATATATTTATACTTACTTTAAGTTAATCTCGTTTAATATAATTTATAACTGGCATATATTTATATATTATAAACGGGCATGCATGGTCACATATGGGCGTGTTTTGTATAAATTTATAAGTATATTGTTTATGTTATCACTTATTATAAAGTGCTGAGTAATAAAGACTGATTGTCTTTGAAATGATTGGATTTTTGTTTAATTATTATTACTATTATTATTATTATTACTATTTTGTTATTGTTTATTGTGTATAAAAAAAATATCAATGAAAAGTATTTGCTAGTAAAAATGTTTATTTTCATCAAACAAATTATAATTAATTAAAAGAACTCAAAATTATTTTACATTTTTGTGCCATAAATATTCTAATAAACATATTTTCACATGACAGTGTAAGTATTTACTATTTTTATAACTGTGCAACAAAAAATACTTTGTGTGTTAATATTTGTATGTATATATATATATATATATATATATACATATACATACATACTTATACTTATATTTTTTGTTCATTTAACTCATTTGAATGAATATGCCAGTGCCTTTGATCTCAAAAAGATATACCTCCAAAACAAAAAAAATAATTAATAACAATTTCAAATATGAGTAGCTTTTGTGTTTAAATTTGAATATATATACGTATACATATTACATATATAGTATATACATATATTTGAACTTATACATATTAATATTAATTAATAATACACATTGTATATAAATGTTAAGGTAAATGGTTTTAAAAAATAACTTAATTTGTATGTATGACAAAAAAGTGTAGAAGTTTGTTTGTTTTTTTTTTTGCACAAAATTGTTGTTATCCGTACAAGCTCAATGTGTATAAAAAATGTTTAGTGTGCTTAAATAAATGTGATAARCTTATTTTGGGGAATTATATTGTACAAGGTATAAGATGATGATTTTTTTTCTATAGGCGCTATTGAAGTGATAAATAGAATAAATTTGTTTTAGCAACTCTAACTTTTAATAATTGATTATTATTATATTATTATTATTATATGAATTATGTTTATTACTTTATTATTTATTATCTACTAAAAACAACAAATGTAAATACAAAAATGTATTTGAAATGTAAATTTACTGATGTTGCTTCTTTTTAATGTGTCAATTTAATACGGATTATTTATTGTTACGGATTTACAGATAATTTGAATATATTTGACTACTGTTTTTTATTTCATTTCTTATGTATTTAACTTTTCATAAAATAGTGTAAATGTTCATAAATAATAAAGCAAACTGCCTTTATGATTTGTTTACAGCAATTTTTTTACATATTGGTAACAAATTTACATACTGTTTATTGTAATTATATAATATACTTAATATTTTTAAAATTAAAATTGTGGTTGAATTAAAATTGTATCTTATCATTATATATATTACTAGTAGTATCACAGATTAATTAAATCTTGATTTAATCTGTGGTAGTATGTGGCGTTTATACCACACAATTCATTTAATAATTCAATTTGATGATAAAATCATTATAATTAGTATTTGAAAATTTCATAAGTTTAAAATAATGAAAAATTTCATAAAATATTTGAAATGCGTGAAATATTTCAGCATTATAATATATTATATACATATATATGTATGCATATATTGTTATAAGTTTTATTTTTATAAATAATTGTCAGAACTTACCTTCACAATTTTATAATATTAGGGAAAACAAACACTAACTTTCTTTATTGATGGTTTTCTTTGGTTAGATTATTGATAAATAATTATCGTTAATATTTTTATTAGACATTTTTTTAATGTTTTTGTGAAATATTTCTTGCTTCAAACAATAATTATGATGAATATTGATATATTTCTTATTTATTAACTGTTTCCTTGTCTAAAATATGTGTTATAAAATAAAATAATTATAATTAATATTAACATAACCAAAAGTATAGGTTGATTGATTAAAATTAATAAATTTATTAAGTAATTATTATTATTCCTTTTTAAGCAATTTTTTTTTTGTTTTTTTTTAAGAAATTTGTACCTATTTCGAGTCATGTCAGTTTCATGTTGAAAATCATCGACTGACGTTTTTGGTATTCTACTCAGAACTGGGATATAAATCCATTTATTTTGATGATTTTTATTACGGATTGCATTTTTAAAAATAACGTGAAGTGCGCCAATTAATAATTGATGATAAGTGATAATGCATCGATTATTAATTGTAAGCGTCTTACAAAAATTGACTATTTTAGATTCTGAGTAGAGTGTTAAATTTATTGGATTTGCTATTTTACTTTACAACCATTGGGGTAGTTAAAAGCTCTAAACAGCACTTTAGTAGAATGGTAATCAAACAAATAATACTTCGGAAAATKTGAAAGTCATTTTTCGAATTTCTTTGTAGTGTCTTCGAAAAACTACAAAATAACAAAAATTAAATATAATCATTAATCATATTAATTAGAGTGTGATTTTAGCCAACTATTGAAATGTTTTTAATAAACTCAGTACTGTATGACGTATGTAGACCACAAGCAAATATATACAATGTGATTGGTACGAGTTTATTTATCATAATATTTATAGTAATAAGTAATAACTAATAATATATTATATAATAATATATTATAGTAGTACTGATTTATTAAATTTATTATTGACAATCTCTCGTAAAAATTTATGTAATTTAGTAAGAAATAGGAACATTTTCATAGGCACACGATACCAAGTCTATATTAAAGAGCAAAATTGGGCCCTCAGACACCGTTTACTTGGCGTTTTGTTGGTAGATGTCCTGGGTGGGATCCCTTTCAACTAAAATTTCAAAGAAATTAGTTCATTACATTCTTAAGACTAAATGAGTGTACATACATTTGTACTAAATTACCACGTGTACAATCATAGATAGTGAAGACCAGTGGCGTATTTAGGTTTTTGTCATGGGGGGGGGGATATGACTTTTTATGATAATTACTAACTTGAGGGGAGCTACGCCCCCCCAAGTTTCCAGGAATTATGAAAGCTTATTAATATTAAATATACATTCTACGTTTGCCAAAATTAGGTATAATACAAAACATTACTTGAGATTAAATGTTTTATTAAACCAAAATCATGTTAATCATGTTATTACAATA